TCTTAATACAGGAGTTACTTCCACCACTCTGCCTGGGAAACTCTTCCATGCTCTGAGGCACCCGAAAGCCAGGCTGCCCTCCAGTCAGGCTACAATTTACATTAAAAATTCAACAGGCTGTTTTATTTATTCTCCCCTCCTTCATCACACACCACTTTCCCTGTTTTCTGGCTCATCAAATCCATAAGAGAACATTCTATCACCAGACAGAGGCATGGGTAAGACCTGTTTGGACACAAAGTCTAATTGCTGATATTCAGTAAATTCACCTCAAAGCGAGCAACTGTCTTCTTGCAGGTTGTCTTTGATGGTTGGCTTCAGTCTCTTCCTTTCCTCATGGGACCACTCAAAAAAAGGGTTTATCCAGGCATGAGAGAGACCAAATATTTCCCACCACTCAGCAGCCACTGACCCATCTGCCCAAGAACTGGCACTGGCTGCTGTGGGTGCCAAGGGGAGAGGGGTGGCAGGAAAACTTTGGGGTTTCCAGAGAGCTCCCTTGGGTTTTTCTGGCTGGGAAACACTGGGATAAAGCATCCAGCAGCTGTCAGCATGGACAGTGGGGGATGTGGGTGTATTCACAGAGCTGGGGTGGTCAGTGATTGAATCTTTAGGTGAATGTTTAGCTTTTGTTGCCTTTTGATGAATCAGGGTGTCTTTTATGAGGCAGAATTAATGCAAGTGCTTCTCTTTTTACAGTGGCCACACTGCCCAGGAAATGAAATGTCATAAGGGGAAAAAAGCTCATTAGTTTGGTGCTGTAAATGGTTCTCCAAGGTCTCAGAAACCCTGTGATTAACATAAACATAGGCAGAGGCAATTACAAGCAAACACACATCTAAAACCCAGCTTTCCATCTAAAAACATGGTCTGCAACATCTCTCTTTGGCTGCTCACAGCTGTGGTGACCTAGAGGTAAGGGACTTTCCATACCAGTGATGACTCAAGCTGTAGAGAGAGGAAGGAGAGCAGCCAACCCAGGGTGCAAGTGAGGACAACAGAGAAATATAGGGTATGTAATATAGTGCCCAAGGTACCAGCAAAGGGATTTTGTGATTTACCCTCAGAATTACATCCTTTTTTGGAGCAATTTGAAGCAAATGCTAGCCTGTTGTGTTTTCTTCACACTGAAATCCTCAATCAGGTGGTGGCTGTTGTATGGACATGTTGATAGCCCTTAGGGCAGAGCAGAATAGTTCTAATTTTCTAAGAGGTCTCTCAAGTCTTCACCTTGCAAAGGCTGAAAAAATGGACATCTTGTCAGGTTTTCTGGTGAGTTCCATGAAATCCACCAGCAGGTAATGCTAAAGAAGAAGATGAGAACAAGAGAAGATGGGAGGAGTGGAACAGCATCACAGACTCGTGTTTGTACCAGACTGTGCACCCTTTATTCTGCATTTCTGCCCTTAGCCTTGAGCATTTACTCAGAACAGACCCAGATGTAAAGAATGAAGTGTGTTTTGTAAAAACCAAAGCTTGGCCCCCTTGCCTGTCACTGTGGCAACCGTGTCAAGAGAGAACTGCATTGATGCCACTTTCTGTAAATAGTGAAGGAGACAGAGGTGTCCGGGCAAGGTCAGGCAGGAAGGCCAGAGTCCCACCCTGCACCCTGGCTAGCAAAACTCACAACTACAGCAGCTTGGGGATAACCTGCCCTACAGGAATAACCTCCACAGTCTAAAAAGCAGCTTGAAGCATCTCTTCTCCACTGTTTTTAAGGTATTTTTGTGACTTTAGATGCTCTGTCTGTTCATGCAATAACATGATCCACTCTGAATGCAAGGCTGACATCCTGCAGTCATGAGTTGCCCAGGCTGATTACTTGTTGCATGATAAAAATAACTGGCCAGCAGCTGACTCTGAGAAGCCATGGGGGAAATAAACCAAGAAAAGGTAGTGTTATTTGTTTTCCCAGGAAAGAGAGAGGAGGCAGTGAAGAAACATGGATCACAGAGACTTACCCAGCAGGGGAGAAAGGCATGGAGGCTTAACTGACCTGGTGGTGTCACACACATGTTTTATGGAAAATCCTCTCCTTAGGATTTTTTCTCCTGAGAAGCTGAGAGGCCTCAGGACCAAAATGTAAACATTGATTATCTGCTGCTTTGGAATGCAACAGGTGCATCTGTGATTGGTCCATGTTGATTGTTTCTAATTAATGCCCAATCACAGCCTAGCTGTCTCGGGCTCTCAGTCAGACACAAGCTTTTGTTATCATTTTTTTTTTCTATTCTTTGCAAGCTTTCTGATGAATTATTTTCTATTCTTTTAGTATAGTTTTAATATAACATATATATCATAAAATAATAAATCAAGCCTTCTGAAACATGGAGTCAGATCCTCATCTCTTCCCTCTTCCTAAGACCCCTGTGAACAGCACCTCATGGTGGGGCAGAGCATGCTCATGGAGGATGCAAATTTGGAGCTTATGAATCCTCCAAAGGCCTTCAAAGAAGGCTCCTGGAGAGTTTGTGTGGTTGCTGGTGCACAAAAGGTTTTTACCTAATGTCTAACCCCTGCCTAAGGGAACCATGGGCTTCGGTCACTCATTTGACCTCTGGAGTAGTGTTATGATGTCATCAGTGTTACAATTTTACACAAAATTAGGTGTGCAATTGTGTGTTAAATAGTGGTAGTTAGCTTGGATTGCTCAACTAACGAAGCAGGCAGCATTAAAGCTGTCACATATGGACTGCTCCAGGGCACTGGCACTGCAAGGGAGTCTGAAATCACTCCCACTTCACTGGGCAGAGAAGCATCCCTCTTCCTTCTCTGGCATCCCCTCAATGGGACAGACCCCCTCACCCAGCTCCCAGCCCAGAAATTTGCTCTGGAGCTTATAAATCTGGTTCCCTGCCCAGGGAGTCCTGCCCAGGTGTCCCTGTAGGCTCAGACAGGTGGCAGAAGCTGCTGATGACCTCTAATGTGTGCCCAAGCTTTGCTTAATTAAGAAAAGGCTCTCTAATAGCATTCACCACCATCTCCTGATGGCTCTGGGACCACTCAGGCTGTGGCAGCACAACCAGGCTCTCCTGTAGTGCATGACATCCTAACGAGTGCTATGGCATAATTTAAATAAAACATAATTTTATTTTCCATCATTAAGGGACTCAGCCTGGGGCAGGCTCAGTCCAGCATGCAGTGTGGCCCTTGGGGAGTTGGTCTGACCCCTCCTGCATGGCCTGGAGCAGAAGCCCCAGCTGGGTGGTCACTGTGGTGCTGTCTGAGGTAATGTGGGTAAAATCTCATCCAGCAGTGTGAGGATTTGGCTCAGGGTGAGTGGTTTCACAAGTGAAATTTCTGACTAATATCACTATCAAAACACTTAGCTGTTGGCTATATTGATTAGGTCCCAGCAGATGCTACTTCACCTTCTAAACCATAGTTATTTCAGGGAGGTAGGGCCTCATCTTGCTGTTCATTCCCCAGTATTTAACTTCAGTGGTTGCATGGAAAGAACAGAATTGTTCTTGGCATTCAGACTGCACTGATCACCACAGAATCAGGGAAAGGGCTGGGGGAGATTCCCCTCCTTCCTCCTCCTTTCTTCTGGACCCCCTTCTTGTCCAATTTGCTGTTCAGCAATGCAGCCAAAAGCTCCATCAAATATTGCCACCTCTTATTGTAGGCAAGGCCCTTGTCTGCAAGTGCCAGTCCTGAGCCAGCACCTGAGCAGGGCAGGGGGATCCCAGCAGGGAGGGGTGACAGGAACACCAGTTTGGCAGGGCAGCAGGATCCCAGCAGGGAGGGGTGTCAGGAACACCAGTTTGGCAGGGCAGGAGGATCCCAGCAGGGAGGGGTGTCAGGAACACCAGTTTGGCCAGTTTGCCCAGCCAGGGTGTGAATTGGGCCTGGGGCTGTGTCGTGGCCCCTGTGGTGGGGGCTCTGGGCTGATTCCAGCTGGAATGCCCGGTCCCTCAGCACCCATCAGCCTGTCTGCACACTGATGGGTTTTGGCTCCTGTCCATGTCAGTCTTCCCCTGCAGCCACCTCTACAGTATTTAAGTATTCTCCTGGTTCACCACTATGCAAATATTGAAATTAGCCCTTTGCATGATGATGGAGACAGTGGCATTAGAGACTTTCTCAGATCATGTGCCTTCTCTGCTGACAGCTTCAGCCATCAGGTTTATTTTTCAGTGAGCTGAAGAATGGCCCCCAGTGTATGAAAACTTCACAGTGAACTATTTGGTATCTGGAATTTTTTCCCTTAAGCTTGTATCTGAATGCATTAAAAACACAAAATGTTGTGCTGTAAAAGAAGGCAAAATGCAGCCTTCATAGGAATGGCCCAATTCTCAGAGACCAAGATCTTTAACTGAGCCTCATGAAAACCAGAAGGAATTAAGAGGGGCTACAAGGGGAGCCACGGCCCCACTAGCAGGCCCAGTGTGGCCTGAGGCCCTGAGAGAAGGCACCAGATCTCACACCCTGAAATGAAACAAGGAAGTCCTTGGGCAGGGATCTAACTGGCCTTGGGATAGGAATTTCTCCATGGGAAAAGATGTCTTTGTCATATCAGTTACACTTCCACAAAATGCTGCATTTGCATCTCATACTTCTGCCCCATTCAGAGACCTTCCCTGAGAGCCTCATCTTGCTGGGAGCTGCAGAACAACCAAAACCCTGTAATGAGTGTGGATGTGCTTAAACAGCACCCATTTTGTCCCTGAAAAATACTGCCATAAGAACCCTGGACACAGCTATTACCTTTTCTTGAACTACTGATGATTTCTTGTCCATGGTATGAATCCTTTGCAGCATGGAGCAGAGCTAAGCGTGATTATCCAGCCTCAGCTTTTCCCAGTGGGGCTGATGGGGTTTATTCTCCATTCCAGCACACTGGTCTCTCATCCCCATCATTTCACATCTCACCACAAGTTAACTAATGTCCATCCTCAGAACACAAGGGGCATGGCCACAGGGGATCTGGCATGCTGGATATGGTGTGCTCTGCCATGTTGGGCGGGCAGTGACAAAAATTATCCCTCTTCCCCCAGGTCCTTCCATCGTCCCACTGCAGCGAGCAGAGCCAACACTGGGCAGCCCTCTAAAATGTTTATTTGGACCAGTGGCCGGGGATCTACATCTTACAGACATGATGAGAAAAGGTAAAGGCACCTGTGCTGATTGTCTCCTAAGGGTTTGCATATCTGACTGTGGCCTGGGGCTTCTCCCCAGGGCTGGCACTGGGGATGCAGGAGGGATGCAGAGGGTGCCCTCCCTGTGCCCCACAGCCCCAGCTCTGCTCCACCAGGAGTGCCAGGTTACTGTGCCAAGCCAAAGCAGAGCCCAGGGGCAGTGCCAGATGTGGGAACCCAGGAATTTCTTCTGGCTGTCCTGGAGGACTCAAGACCCTGCCAAGGGGCTCAGAGACCTTGGCACACAGCTCAAGACCCCTGTGCCTCTGATCTTGACTCATGGAAAAACAATTATCAACCTTTATATGAAGAATTACAAGTCAAAAGAGTTTAAGTAGAATGATAGTGAATTTATCACAGGGTGAAAAATAGATTTTTGGGGTTTTTAGAATGGGGGTTCAGGAGGTAAGATGGAGGAATCTGCGTGTGTCCAGTCTTTCTCTTTCTTCTTCTTGGCCTCCATCTTCTGCTGTGATGTTGGCACTTTAGATTGGTTTAGAGTAGAAACTCACTGTCTAACATAGGTGATAGGTATTGGGAAGTTATGGTAAATAATGTACACATAGGTTTTAGTATAAAAGACAATTCCACCTCTGAGGCGGACAGCGTGCTCAAGCCAACCTGCCAGACAGACCTTGGGTGTCAGAGAAAGAATGTTATAGCTTAGAAATAATAAAAAACCTTGAGAACAAGAACAGAAAAATCTTGACTCCTTCTTCAGCTGCCAGGCTGGGAACAAGAAGCTTGTCCACATCTCAGAGTCACTCTGACCAGCAGAAATTCCAGAGCCATGGCCAGAGCCTTCCTTGTTCTCTGCCACCAGCAGCACACCGTGGCCATCTCTGTGTCAGGTTTAAAAGCACACTGATCACAGCCTCAGCTGTGCAGCCCCTACCCCTGAGAAGCCCTCATGCTCTTTGCAGGTGTCCTGCCTCAGCCAGCAGCCACAGTGTCCCCCAGGCAGGGCACTGCCCCACGCCTGAATGATGCCTCCAGCTGCCAGGGGTGATTTCTGGCTGTACAGGTGCACGTGTGAGGATGAGCCTGTGTGCAGCACCCTGCAGGAGCTGGGGGTTGTTTGGCTGCTTGAAAGAGAGCTGGTGGCTCACCAGCCCACTTGAGTGGTGTTGCTGGAGGGAACAGGCTGAAGGAGACAGGAATAAATGAGTTACTGGGTCTCCCAGGGGAGCAGGGAAACGTTCCAAAGAGAAGGAAAGGGAAGGAGAGGTTTGAAGTCCACAGATAAAGGCAGAGCTCCTTTTGGGAACAAAAGAAGTTAAATATCAATGATGAAATAATAATTGTCAGTAATGCTCAGACTCATCCTTCCAAAATCCCCCTCCTTTGCAGTAAGATTTGCTGGACAGCTTGTCTTGTCACAACAAGGACACATTTGCCTTTCTTTTCTTTCCTTTGCCCCTTTCCACCTCTCCTTCAGTTCCTCTTGCAGTCTCTATTAAATGTAATCACAAAAAATCACACTCCAGTGAAACAAAACCAGATATCAATGTATCTACAGTGCCAATTAGCAAACCACACTCTTCAGTAATTCTAATGAGACATTACTGTGACATCTGCTTGGGAATCTGCACTCCTGAATTCAGGCAGCAGAGCTGCCCTCAGGACCCTGAGATTCTTTGGAGAATTGGCCCATTCTCTGAATGTTTCTGCAAAGGTTGCATAGGTGTTCAGCTCGAGGAGTTATCTGATCCCAAGCAGGTATTTTGAAGACAAAAAGGCCAGCTTTGCAGCAGGAACTTTCATTGGAGCTGGTTGTCTAAATGCCTCCTGTACTTCTGCCAGTCTCTTCTTTAATTGAATTTTCCCCAGGCTAATGTCCTTCTGCATTAGAACACTGTCATAGTCCAGGGGTGAGGGGATATCTGCCCACACTTTGGGCTGGCTGGAAGCTCCTGATTAGCACAGCCTTTGACTCTCACCATGCCTTGAAGCTAGGCTGATTAACTTGGGCTGAGGGCTCACCAGAGTCTGGTCAGTACAAATCCAGGCAGAGCTGATCCCTGCCTGCCTGCAGAAACAGGGAACAGGGAGCAGGATCTCTGTGCCTGCACACCAGCCATGACAAATTCAAATATCCTGACAAGCCTTTGGGTGGGTTTATTTCCCAAGAGAAGGACTTCTTTGTAGCTTGTGAGTGATTAATAAAATGCAGGAGGGAAAGGGAGGAAATAAGAGAGAGCTGATGGCAGCCTGAGGACTGCAGAGGAGAGGTGTGAATGCAGAGCAAGTGCTGTTAGTGGGAGAAACTCATCCTCCAGTGTCTGGCAGTGATTTTAACATATGTAAGGTCACCAGTGCCATCATTATATCAAACAAGTGGTGCCTTTCAGAGAAATGACTCACCTTAAATGACCCCTTCCCAAGAATTTTGGTCTTTAAACTTTAGACAGGAAGATTGTTGTATGGATCAGCAAACTTGTCACCCAACATATGCTACAGCCACAGAATTTTGAGGGATGGCACCATAATATTAACTCTGCTGCAAGGACCACTTGCTCTAAAGGAATCACCTCCTCCTGGGTGGAAGGTATCTCTGAGACATCTCTTTTTGCAGGATCAGCACCAGAATATCTGTATTTCATTGCTGTTTTAGTCATCAATGATTCCCCAGCTGCCACATTTGATGCTTTGGAAAACTAGTTGAGCTCTCATTCTTTCTCAGTTGTCAAAGAGGCTCTCCACACCATTGCAACCATTGGAAAAACAAAGCACTGGTTTGGTTTGGTTTGGTTTGGTTCAGTTTGGTTTGGTTCAGTTTTGTCCAGCCTGGTGAGGAAGAGGGAAGCAATTGAGTGAAAAAATCTGTTAATATCAATAGGAATCCACCTACAACCATCACTGAGTCTGTTCTGAGGGCTCCAGAGAGATTTCCTGTTGCCATAGGTCTACTAGCAAAAACTGGTGCAGCCAAACATACCCATAAATAAAAATGTAAAGAAGGTGGCTTCTAAGCAGAAAAATCCCTGCATATGGGGAATTCTGCAGGTAAGACACAGGAGTAGCTTCTGACCATTTCATTCATGGATTTCTGATATCAGTAAACACCTCACCATGAGGTAATTTGCGTGACATCTGCATAACAACTCTGATATCAGAGAAGGGAATGTGAATTCAAAGTCATTCTGAATTATTCAGGCAGGCATCCCTGTCTGACAAGCGCCAGGACTGCGTGGTGCCAGAGGAGGCAATGCCTCCCTCAGAGTCACCCCACGGTCCCTCTGCAAGGGGAGGGCTTTGAGGTAGGTACTCTGTGCTTATTTGAAATAAATAAAGTCATTGCAGGTGCCTGGTTATTCTAGCTTTCCCATGAGGACATTTAGCACTCTTTACAGAGCTCTTAGTGCTGCTCATTCTGGAGCAGGAGGTACAGAAGGATCTGCTGAGCACATTGAGAGGGATCCCTGCACTGCTGCTGTGCAGGGACATGGAGAGGGAAACTCCACTGTCCCCAGCAGGCACAGTCATGGCTGAGATCTCCTCTCTGGCATCTGAACCTGGAGAGAGCAGCCTCTCTTTATCCTGTGAGAAACCTGGCAGAAAGGACAGGGAAATTTAGCAGGGGAGAACTTCACTTTGGAAATGATCAGGGGCACAAAGACCTTTTGTCCTTGGGGGATTGCTTCCTATTAAATGCCTCTGCAGAGGTCAGGGACACCCTGTTCTGACAGCTGGGGCCTCTTTAAAAGCCAACAGCCCCCCTGGATGGCATATGAGGAGTTATCCCAGGGAATGACTGGGATTAGATGGAGTCACTTGGTGAGCAGTGCCTGGGATGCAGCGACCTGTGCTGAAACACAGCCCAGCAGGCAGCTGGCTGTGGCTGTGCAGCTCTGGGATCCAAAAGCAGCCAGCTCAGCAGGGCATTATTGCAGCTGACCGAGCAGAGGGAGGCCCCTGAGCTGTGCCAGAAGTTCACAGGTAATGAACTCACCCACCCTGACACAGCTGCACACTCATATGCAGGGCACTGCTGCTGCCCCAGTGAGGGAGGAGCTGAGACTGCTCTGCTTCTGCCCAAATACTGGGCAAAACATACTGTGTTCCCCAAACCAGGGCTCTCAGGGGCAAAAATGTGAAGTTTTGTAGCAGCAGACATTCCCAGTATCACACAAAGAGAATTGGCACCTCCCCAGTGCAGGCACAAGCGTGAGGAGGAGGAGGAGGAGGAGGAGGAAGGGTTGTTCAGCACTGTCTCCTGGGCTGTGGCAGGACTGCTGTCATGGGCTGGCATGTGCCACACCACCACCCACCCCAGCAGGGTCACCAGGCTGACTCCTGGCAGGGATTCAGGGAAAAGCCCTCAGTGAGGTGCACCAGGCTATCACTTTGCTGTTGTTCGGGGCTTTGAATAACAAATATTTACAAAAGAGCAATGGAAGCTGTGCTCCAAGCCTGACCTCTGAGGCAGAGCTTTCTTCAGCTTTATTTCCTCCAGTAGGTGAGCTTGGAGGATGCACCTGGCAGGTGGTCACCAGTCACCTTTGCCAGGCAGCTCATTTTCACTACACACCTTTCAGTCCATCCTTTTTTTTGCCTCTGATGGTGTGTTCCTTGGCTAAGGGCCACATGGGAAACACTTGTAACCAATCTCAATTAGTTATTTGTTTTCAGATTGTCCATTTGCATCCCTTTTATGTCCAATGGCATTAGTGAGTGATTGCACTGGGCCTGTTTTATGCCTACACGTTGCCATGAGTTATGCTGTGTGCTGGTTTAATGTGCTGGAACTGCATGACAGTCTCTGCCTTCCTGCCTGCTTCCATTTGGGAGCAATGCAAATCCTAATGGCAGCAGTTAAATACACTTTGATAAATAATAATAGAAAAGTAGCATTAGATTATGACTCTACATTACTTCTTTGAAGGCAATTGCATCTGCCAGTTCACAATATATTATTTTTTTTCCCGAACAGCAGAGAAAACCTTGACAGGCAGAATTATCATTTCATTTCCAAACAAGAAAATACTGACAAGCTCTAAAGGATGGTTTTGAAGAGAAACCATGGACACCTAAAGATGTCAACTGCAGTTGGATAAAGAAACCTCAAGGGTTGTTAGGTACAGGAGACTTGACTGCAGTACTGTCTAAGCAACATTTTTGCTATAAAACCCCACACCATATGTGCTTTTCCTGGCTATGACTCATCATCTAAATAGAAATTCAATTCCAGTCTCAGGGAGTCTATGATTAAACATATTTTTCGCTGTTGCATCTACTGTGTTTATGTACGATTTCACATCTGTCTTATCTCTATTTCTTTATCCTTAATAGCCAACGTGAGTTCTCTGGTTGACCTGACTCAGTGATTTTTTTTATTTTTTTTTCCCCACGGGTGAGTGAAACTTGGTGGCTTCAGCTGAAAGGAGTGGAGGGTTTGCTAGAGGCCAAAGTGACGTTGATGTTGCTCACCTGCCATTTTGCAGACAGTGGAAGAGGAACTCCTCCCACGTGTCCTACTGTGTCCATGTTATGGTGGTGCCAGGGCTCAGAGCTGTGCTTCGGGTGCTGCCTGGATGATTCAAAAGAACCATAACAGGAAGCACAGGAGATTTTGACCAGCCTCAGGTCTGTAAGTACATTTTAAACCCACAAAGTTTGAGTGTGTTTGAAATGTACTCAAGTATTTCCTTCTCCACCATTGTGTCCGCATGACCCATTGAATCATCAAAGGCTCGGAGATGAAAGAAGGACTTATGGTTAGAAAATGCAAAGGACTCTCTGCTGAAGGGGGAATGGTTTGTTGTATCTTCTTTTTCTTTTTTTTTTTTTCTTCTCTTTTTTTAAATCCCAGAACAAATAGCTCTGGTGGATAATTCTCTGTGAGGGTTTTCACTGTAATGAGTAACTGGGCTTCCAAAAAGCTGTTTTATGAATAAAGTAAATAAGCTCCCAATCAAAAAAACCCACAGAAATCAATTGCAAAATCCCCACAGTGTTTCATGAACTTTGAGTCACACTCAGGGTGGAAAATTGCCCAAACCAATAGCCTGTAGTGAATCAAAAGAGAGCATGGTCCTTTCAGATAATATTAATGATGACTTTCTTCAGGCTATTTCCTACATGTGGTAATGTAAGACCTGTTACCCTATTCAGCTGGAGAAAAGACACCTCATACACCTGGATATCTTCTGGTGGCCTGAGATGGCACTGGCAGGTCAAATGCACCTCTGGGATAATTCTACTGAGCCAAAGAGGCTGTACCAAAGAAGTGTTTACTGAGCTGGCACAAATGTCTAATACTTGTATTTGTTGTAAGGGGTTTTCACCTTTTCAGAAATGGCTGTAATTTATTTTGGAGATGAATAAGTTTGCACCAGGTCAGAGTGAATCTGTTGGAAAAGGACATCAGAGGACCTTTAAGCCTTTCTCTCCCATGAGATGGGTATGGAGGTGGGACTGCCCACCCTTTAGAGGCTGCATTGATGATTGAACATGAACTTCACATAAAAATGTTTAATTTTCAACCTCAGAAATATTTACCAAAAAATCAGGGATCACGACCTACTGGACAAAAGGAAAACAGTGACAGCCCTGAAAGCTGGAGAGGACCGTGCCATCCTGCTGGGGCTGGCCATGATGGTGTGCTCCATCATGATGTACTTCCTGCTGGGAATCACCCTGCTGCGCTCCTACATGCAAAGGTAACCCCATGGCTCTCCCTGCTCTCAACCCTGCATCCCCAGCTGGCTGCATGTGGCTTATTCTTTTGGCTCTTTCTATTAAAGGTTTATAATTGTTCATTTGGTCAAACAAACTCTGCACTTCCTTGCCCCGGTGTAAATTAGGCACAGCCACAGTGAAAGCAATTTGAGTCATAGTGGCATAAAGTGAGGGAAGAATTAGATCCCTGCTTGACAAAATCTCGATCCACAGGCTTTAGACTTGGCACAGTTTAACACCAGTATAATATCCATATCAGCTGGCCTGCAGTCTGCTGAACCATATCAGCTTCTCAGGGGCTGCTGCTGCAAAGCCCAGACTCAGGACAAAAGAGCAAAAAATATTTTGCAGCCCTGAGAAACAGTACACTTCCAAATGAAAGATGGAGAATTAATTTGGGAAGGAAATCAAGCTCTTTGTAGCACGTAGTTTTCCATGTCGGTTATTACTTTCATTTTAACAACTGAAATCCTCATGAAAGATAGCAATTTGCTGAAAGCAAAAGACCATCTTCCATCATTCCTGCACTGCACCTAATTTTTCTGAGGCTGTCTCTGGCTTCCTCCTCTGCCACCAAGCAGAGAGCTCGGCCTGTGATTCATTAACAACATTTGTAATCAGTTTTCAAGCATCAGCCCTATTTAAAATCCAGCACAGACTGCAGTAAGACTGTCAGTGATGGGTTTTTCCCTGCCCTGATTGGTAGAGTTAAGAGAATGAAAAATGTGTAACTGGGGATCAAAATATTACTCTGTCATGTCCCAAACCATGCTAAGGCAGGGGCACATACCTGGAACATCTTGGGTTAAACACCACAGGCTTCTTCTTTAGGCACATGCAAGAAGTGCCTACAGCTAACTGGTGTGAGCATCCTCAGTTATACTGGTGCACCTGCATGAGAATGTTCCCTCTTGACCCTGCAGTGATGAGGAATACAGATGAGGATGAGCTGTACTGATTTGCAAGCATCTTATTCATATGATAAAGTTATTTGTCCCTTTTTAAATCAAGGCAGAATTTCGATTTTGAAAACTGAGATCAAGACCTGTTAAGTATCCAAGAGCATTTTCTATTCCAAATTGCTCTCCCAGATCTTTCAGCAATATCGGGGTCAATTGCAGAGGCTGCTAAGGTCAAAATTGCTCACGTGGAAAGAGTTGATTTATATTATATGATATGTGAAAAAAAATTGCCAGATGATATCAAAACACCTCCAAAGTATCAACTATTCTATCTTCACAAGTCTGTGGTAGGTAGGTGTTACTTTATTACCCCCCTGCATGAATAAAACAGCAGCCAGAAAGGTGAAAGTGAGGAGAAGACAGCCCAGGAGCCTTTGCTGTCACTTTTTTCCACACAGACAGATTTCCTCAGGGGTTATTCTCGTTTACAGCAGCATCCCTCCAACAAATACTGCCTGGGAGGGTGAAAAAAATCCTTTCATTCAATTTCCCCCCAGAAAACATAGCATAACTTAATATAAATGTAAAACTGAATATACAAGCAGAATTACTGCTTAAGTAAAACAGCATTAGAATTAGGCAGAAATCTTTGATATCACTTACTATGTAAAGCCCCTCACAGGTTTTTTGAGGGGCAGGCAGACCCTCATCCCTTTCATGGCAGGGCAGACCTTGGGGGTTTGAGCTGAGGGGCTGAGCACCATTAAAGGGGAGCCCTGGGTGAAACCTTCCCCCAGCCCACAAAGGGCTTTTTGCAGACCCCTCAGTGCAGTGTGCCCTTTCCCCAAGGAAAACACAGCTGCAGATTTTTAAATACATGCCAGTGAGCATTGCTAGTGCACAGCCAGGCCCCATCGTTCCAGTTTTAGCCTCTGGTGAATTGGAGATGAGATGAAATCCTCCAGAAAAGTTACAGCCACTGACTTAACTCACAGAAAAGCAAGCCAGCTGCCACTAGGAAAATCTTTCCCATAGGTAGAGCTACAGGAGGTAACCCTTGAGAGCTCCTATACCTTCATGTATGAGAATCATACCCTGCTAGTTCAAAATTGTCCTCTCAACCTTTAACTTGACCTGAACTTTGAGTTAACGTTCAAATCAAAATTGTGCTCACTTGAAATTGGCCTGGACTTTGAGTTAACCCTCAAGTCCCAGCTGAGGGTGCCTTGTCATGCAGCGCCGTGCGTGTTGTGCTCTCCCCAGCACAGGCTGCTCAGTTTTCCTCTCCCTCTGCTGACACCCTTTCAAATACACCTCCTCCAGCATCAAAGTTCCAGTTCAGTTTCCACTTATACACAGGCATAAGTGAATAGGGTAATTTTGTAATTGATTTTGTGTAATTCTGTGCCCAAAGGCTAAACTGTCTGTGGTGTGTGGCATGAGACAGCCCAGGCTTTGCTGCAACACGTGGCCTCTCCTGCAAGATGCCCCCAGTCTGTCTCTGATGGGAATCCTGAGATGGCTTTAGTGTTTATTTGCCTATTCTTGCCATGCTCTAATGTCTCTTTTTTCCCTGCTTAGTGTCTGGACAGAAGAGACTCAGTGCTCACTGCTCAATGCATCCATCACAGAAACCTTTAACTGCTCATTTAACTGCGGCCCAGAGTGCTGGAAAATCTCTCAGTACCCCTGCCTGCAGGTGTATGTTAATCTCACCTCTTCTGGCCAGAAGCTTCTACTCTACCACACCGAGGAAACAATGAAAATTAATTCTGAGGTAGGAGCACAGAATAAAATTTGTTCCTAAATGGGTTTCTGGAGGGCTTCTCCTCTCATTACATCCATTCCTCACTTTAAAGCAATATAAGGCTTCCAGCTCCTGTTTCACAGAGCAGAGAAAGCAGAAATCAGTGCACAAACACAGCTCACATGTCTGGAGAGGGGCAACTTTCTGCCTCCATCCATTCCAGGGGTGCTGTGCCCTGAGGGCTGGAGCCCCCCTCATCCTTTCCAAGAGCCTTACAGGAGCAGGAGCTCACTGAGCATGTGTCACCTTGATATTCTCATGGAGCTGTGGACAAGTCCCTTCCCACCCAGGAATGGCTCCCATGACAGTGAACACCCCTAGAAATGTGCAGGGAGCACCCATGTGGCAGTGAGAATGGAAATGGCACCGTTTCTACAGGGCAGGCAGGGTTGGTGGGGAGAGAGGAGAGCCCATCCCCATCTCTGGTGGCAAACCCTGACCTGAGCAGCCCCCTGAGCTCAGCTGTGCTGCTGGGCTCCATCACTGCACTCACCCTGCAGAGACCCTGAGTTTGCTGACTGAGGGGTGCCAAGGTAAAAGCAGCAGCATAAACATAAAGGGCCTGGCTTTGGGGTGTGAATAAAATAAAATAAAATAAAGAGTCACCCCATCTTTACAGCACAGCTGCTCTGACTCCAGATGTTGGACTAATGGAATTGTTTTGAGCAAGCCTGAAGAATTCCTGCCTCTGCTTCTGCAAGTACAAGCTCCAGTGTAAGCCCATGCAGATGGGGTGGAGAGAGCTCCAGTCTGGAGGCTGCAGGGAGCAGCAGATGCAGAGAATGCAGCAGCAGCAGCCCAGCTGTGTGCCTGACCTGGGCTGTGCATCACTCCCCACCTTCCACAGGGACAGGAGAGATGGGAACAGGGAAATGTCCCTCTCCCCACCTTCCTTTCTTCATAGTAACAACTCCTATGTCCCTGAGAGCACAAACTGGAGGGAGCTGGGACACAGTGGAATCATTAGACTTACAGGTGCCGGATTTTCTTTAACTGTTTGGTTATCCAAGGTCACTGAACCCCAAACTTGGCAAAGCACACCCCAGAAGAGCATAGCCCCAGATCAGGCTGCTGACAAAGTAACCTATTGTGCTTCTATTTATGGCAGCTGTTCAGTAGAACAAATTAATCCTGCATATTAAGATGAAGTGATATTAAAATTAGTCAAAGTATGGCATGGTTGCACTAGGCTGCTTATTCTGCTGGATAATTAACTCTCATGGCTGAGAGATGGAGTCCTCTGGCTCTGAAGTGTGAAATGGAGAAGAGTTCCCCCTTTTTCCCCTCCACTCTGGCATCAGTGCAGGAAGAGGCACTCACTGTCTGTGAGGCCTGAGGCAGGACAGACCTCACTTCCTGCTGGGGCAAAAGCAAAACCGTGATGTTCACGCCTCAATTTGATTAAAACAGATCAGATAAATATCTGTGCTCCACTGATTCAAATAAATTGAGAGATTCAGCATAAATCTCCACATTCTTTTATTGATAATTTTTGCTTGCTGAAATGGACTTTGAAATTCTCCCAGATGCCACCTCCTCTTAATTTAGTGTAGGCACAGTTAATACTTCTCCAGCCCAAGGTTGTTTTACAGGTTAAGCTCTGCTCTCAGGAGGATTCCTAGGTTTTCCTAACATGCTGCTGGCTATGTGACCTGAATACAAAGCAGTTTTGAGGGGAAGTTTGCAATGTCTATAAAATACCTGTCTTCTTGCTCGTGGCTCGGATCAGCAGGGTTTCCAAGCTCAAATCAGCACAGCCAGCCTCAGCACTCCAGATGTGATTTCCCTCTCCCCTGGCCAGAGAGCATCCCCATGCAGCAGGAATGCAGCCCTGAGTGTGCTGGGTGGTGATGCTCCAGCTGGGTGCTAAGCTGTCCCTCTCCATCCATTTACTCGCATTTGTGTTCCCTGTTCTTTACCTTTGCCAAATAAATAAAAAATAACCCCATGCCTGGCTCACTGAGCTCTGGCATTACTGGGGACAACACAGAGCACAGTCCTGACACTCCAAGACCAACACCAGTGACTCTCAAAAGGTGACACCCCTCCACCAACCTCTGTGCTTTGCTGAGCACCCACACACAGGGACAGAGCAGCATCTGGAGCTGCCTCTCTCTTCTCCCCACCAGCCAGCATGGCCAGAGCAAAATCCACCTTGAGTTTAAATAGTGCTTTATCCAGGAGAATTGCTGTCTAACCTGGCTGTCAGCTCAGGAGGTGGAGTAAGGAGTAGGTACAATTTATACTGAGATCTGCAGCGTGCTGCTGCCAGTCTCTGGTGGGAGTCAGTGGAGATCTGTCAAGCTGCTCGAGTCTTTCCAAGAAAAGCACATAAGGGTTTTATTCTGCCTTTTCATTGCTCTTGCTGTGCCTACTTTATCTCTAGCCTTTAGGACAAGCCCAGCCCCTGGTCAATACCACAGGCAAAACAGTTTAAATGCTTCCATGGCCACACTTTCCTTCCTCAGCTGCCAAAGGCTCTAACAGCCTCTGCAAGAGGTGAATCAGCCACAGAGCCAGGCTGTCACCATGAGGAAGGGCTGTGGTAGTTAAAGCAATTAGAGAGGCCCCATTTTGATCTCATGTTATGTAATTTTGACTCTTTTCATGTCATTGGAGCTCCTGCTGATTTGTATCAGTTCTCTGTTAGTGAGATAACAAGAAGGATTTAATCACCAAAATCAGCTGTAACTGCCTGGGACTCAGAAATGATGTGGATTCTCAGGGTTTCTCACAGAAGACTCAGGTGTTTATAAGCCAGGAAGGAGTTTGCCTGGTGCAGGGAGGGGAAGCAGAGCTGTTCAGCTGTGGATTCCAGTAGGGAACTGAAAAATTCCATCCGGAGGAGTCAATTCAGGCCAACTCAGATACAGAACTCCTCCTTCAATCCTTCTCCAAACTTGTTGGAGGTGTAAATTGACATCCTGACCCCTTTCTCACAAAGATTGCCTGTCTAAGTTTCCAGGCTCAGCTTGGACACCAATCCCAGCCACAGACATATGATGAGAGTTGTGGATTTCACTGCCCCCCTGAACTGGGGGCTTTTCTGGCAATAGCCTTTGTAGTATATCTTCATGGATTTAAGGGAAACTGCCTCTAGCTTGCCTGGAGAAGTTGTGTGATCTCCATCTCTGGAGATATTCATAACCTGACTGGACAAGTCCCTGAGCAACTCTGCACTGAGCAGGGCACTGGACTGGATGTATCCAGAGGTGGTTCAGACAGGACACCTACCCAAAGCTTTATATTAGGAAAATAGAGATGAAAACATTAATCACAGCTTCTATTTGTAACTGTCTGATAGATCCCTCTTGTGCTCAGATTGCTAGGAACACAAGAACCACCTTTCTCATGCTGTATCACAGAATCTTCACCTGAGGTAGAGCACCAGACACTGTTTACTTGCAGATTTCCAATGTTTGACAATGCAGAAGTGCCAAGAACCAGCATAGATTTAATTGTCTGCATTCACAGGTAGAGCACAGCAGTTGTGGATATAAAATTCCTTACCAGCCATTGCAGAAAACTACTGAAAATTTAAACTATGGAAAACAAAGAAAACATCAATACATCCTGTTATTGAGTCTTCTTCTTGTTTGCCAAACGCCTATGAAACACAGCTGGGATCTCACTGGGAAAGCTGAGATGTGGAAGGAGGCCAGGAGCACCCCACAACCAAAATTTAATGTCCTTGTGCTGAGGATCAAAGCTAAGACCAAGACATTTCCAGGGTTTCAGGAGAACCAGAGTGAGGCAGAGAGCACACAAAGGGCTCACACACCTTGGAGAGCACCTGGGAGACAGGAGAGAGACATGGCTTCAGCACAAGGAGTCTGGATGAGAGGCACAATAAACCAACTTCCCTTGCACAGCTGCACTCCACAGTTTCATGCTCCCAGGCCCTCCACCATGGGCAGCCCAACACAGCTGGTGGCTCTGTGCCTGCAGGTGTAGGGAGCAGCCCAAGTTCTGCTTCAGGTCCCCTCTGAGAGCACTTGGACAGTGCTTGGATTCACTGCACTATTGGGGTATTTCTGCAAACTTAGAGCCCAGGAATCTTTCATCCTTTTTGCTTCTACATATCTTCTATTCTCTGTCAAGGGGAAGTTGTATTTTGCAAAAGTGGCCAAGTTCTCATTTAATTCAGGATACTTCATGAGAATTCCAGAAACAGAAATGAATAGCAAAAAAAAATGACAAGACAAAAAACCCAAATTCCCCCAAAAAACCACAACACAAATCCATTTGAACTGGAAATACTGCTGTTATTACAGTGACAACAGATCATTTACTAAGGGAAAATGAGGAATGCTTCACTGAGAAATTCCCCCTACTTAGTAGATTATGATCTATTAAAGACTCGTGGGCACTGGAAGAGGGCTCGTGACTTTGGACATTTAAGACAAATTTGGTCAGAGTACAAGAGAATATCCTATAGGGAGCAGACACGCACCAGCAGCAAGATGGATGAGATATTAATGCTCTGATATTTTTCATCTCTAATTTCTAGAGCTCTATGAAATATTCATAATGGCAGTGTGGCCACGCTCCACCATTAATGCTCCAGTCTGCTAATGCCAGACAATCTCTCTGCCATGCTTCAAATCATATTCTGTGTTAATAACTTGCCAATGAATCAATCAAGTCCTATTATGAGGTTAATCCTTTGATCATAATTAGGACTAGAGATTTGTTGCAGTATGTTAAAAAAAGAATTCACAGCACGTCACGAAAAAGAACGGAGGGACGTTTATAAAGTATGTACATTAACAGAGTAATAGTCAAAACCCATGGGTCACATTATTTTAATCAAAACCATCTTCTTTCCTTTGCAAAACTCACTTTCTCATTAAATTATCTGGGGCTACTTTGGGTTCTCACCAGGACAAGCAGCCTGCTAGGTCCCCCCTGCATGTCCAAGGAGAAGTCAAGCAGCAGATCTCCACTCCTCCTGAAGCAGTTAATCAAAATCCTGTGCAGGTGTAGAAAAAATTCAGATTTGGTGGGGTGTAAGTGCATAGAAGAGAGAAGGAAGTGAGAGGCCCTGGGCTCCTCCCATCGATCATCTTCCAGACCATCAGGAGCAACAGCAAGCTGAGGGGTTACTGCTCTAGGTCAAAAATTGTCCAGATGTGGCCTCAGTCCTTGTGTCTGCCAACCAGCTCAGCAGCCCACACCAGCCCTTGGCAGGGAGTGCTCAGCAGAGCCCAGGTCCACTGTCCTACCCTTCTCATGGAATATCTTCAGAGCATGGACTCCATAAAACAGGTTTTAAAATAACTTGCCTTTAGAATTCTCTGGAAATCCAGGTTGCAACGGTTCTAGATAGAGCCACCCCCAAATCTTATTTCCTTTGGGACTAAAACTGAAAATCCAGGATCATCTTCAGAGAAAAGGATCTTATGCTGGGGGCAAAAGCAAAAAAATCACTAAACGCCACTCTGGCAACCAGGTTGATCTTCATCTAGAGGCTGAATGAGAGTCCCCTGGGCTGTCAGTAGGAAAACCTGGATCACTTATTTGTCTCTAGCTGAGCCATTACCCCCATGAGAGTATTTGTGTGGAGGTCTCTCCTCATCCCTCCTCTGAGTGAACTCCTGTGCCCACTGTGATCACTTAGATCCAAGCCAAGTGAGAGCTAAACTCCCAGATTTGTATTTACAGAAAGTCAATTACCCATCTAACTGTGAGCATATGTGTGCCACTTAAGATGAAGAGGTACTTCATCAGTTCTATTTTTGCATGTGTAAATTAGCAATAATAATATATTCACCTATCTCACAAGGCACCGTGCAGATTAAAGCATTAATGTTTGAACAGCACTTGGAGGTTCTCCAATGGGAAATTCTGTAGATGTGCAAAATATTGAGTTTTGCTGTGATAAATTCATTATTAGTGTAATAGTATTCCACTCTTGTTGTGAAAAGCATAATCATCTGGAGATTTCCCCACTTGCCACCTGCAAACAGACACTGCAACAGCTCTGGAGACATTTTCCTCCCTCTGCTTTCTCCCCAGTGTTCCTACATCCCCAAGTGTGGGAAGAACTACGAGGAGTCCATGTCGCTGGTGAACGTGGTGATGGAAAACTTCAGGAAGTACCAACGTTTCTCCTGCTTCTACGACCCCGAGGGCGTGCAGAAGAACGTGATCCTCACCAAACTGTACAGCTCCAACGTGCTCTTCCACTCCCTGGTCTGGCCCACCTGCATGATGATCGGGGGGGTGGCCATCGTGGCCATGGTAAAGCTGACTCAGTACCTCTCCCTGCTCTGCGAGAGAATCCAGAGGATCAGCAGATAGGAAAGGAGACTTCTCCGAAATTTAATACTGTTTTTTCTCATTCTTCACCAAAGAACCTTAAGTTTGTAATGTGCAAGTCTGGTATAAGTTCCTTACTATATTCTTCTAAGTAGAGCAATAATGCAAAAGCTGTTCTATATGCAAACATGATGTTATTATTATGCAGACGAATGAAAGCGTTCCTGTTTTGTGTTGACCGTCTCTATGATCTTGTTTTATGCTGGGATTAGTTCTTTCTTTTCTACAGCCAAGATAGGGCTCAGTGTGACCATTGGCCAAGCTTTAGTCAGTTGATGTTTTTGGTGTAAAAGATTTTGGGGAAATTCACTGCTGGACAAAGGGCAGCCGACCATTTGTGCATCATTGAGGTCTCACACCTGGCTCAGCCCACTGGATGGATTTGTGGCTTTGGCTTTTTTAACACTGGCTGCAGAGTGGGGAGGGAAAAGGCATTGATAAGGGTTTTTTTAATGGTAAGATGGCACAAAAAGGATGTATTTTGAGGTCAGGTTGGGATCAGCATACAGTATTTTCAGCCTCAGTAGGAATTGGTGATGCTTTGTGTTTGCTCCCTCAGTTCAGAAGTCAATTGTACCCTATGGTGTTTGTAAGGTCTTTTGGAAAACACTTTGGAGTTTTATTTTGTGTAGTGCTATAATTTTCTTCTGTCTTATCAACATAAGTTTTGTCACTTGCAGAAGCTGTAGCCAAAAAAGCAAAAAAAACACCTTGTTCCATTTTGTATTCTAGTCTGAGCCCTATTGATGGAGGTGGGACCAGAACTCCTTCTGTAAAGGTTTATTATTCATTTGTCTTGTATTTGCTACCATATCACTGTAAAGAAAAAAATAACACTATCAGCTATTTTTTCATTTTTTACTTCCAACTATTTTAGATTTTTTTACTTGATATATATACAGATATATATATATAGATATATATATATAAAGAAAAAGCTATATTATATCTAGTTGTGTATTGAAACTTGTTTAGGGGGGTTTTTTCCTTTGTTTTTACCCACTGGAAAATGAACAGTACAATTCATGTATTTGTAACCTTCATCCTTGGATAATATCATAACACAGAGAAGCAGCACTGCAGGATCTTATCCAATATTCATGATGTTGTTTCAGTCAAAGGTCTCTGTTGCTGTGACATGGGAAATGACAAAAATCTCATCCAATTCTATGGCTCTATTAACTGAATTGTTAGATAATCATCATAACACATTTGGAAATCTCTCCTGACCCTTACTCACCATGCAGTGCTGGCTGACATGAATTATGATTTACAAGACCCAGGTGCAATGATTTATTGGAAAACTGAGAATCTGGCTAAGTTGTTGTCCTATCTGTCAAATATTTACCACAGTATACTTGCCAGTTTAATTTCATACACACTGGAGTCACAATTTCTGCATAATTTATTTTTATTCCCCAATAGAAAACATTCCTTCTTATGTTTTAAAGACACCTCTTTCAGTTCCTCATGTTGTACCCAGCCTGAAGGACAAACACAAGGCACATCCTGGGAGTAATCCTGTGAACTCATTATCCAATAGCTCAAAGAAACTATATACAGGCCTACTCAAACCAAGAAAATAACATTTTTCCCTTCAAAAAGACTGCAAATCAAGTATTCTGCCTAGTTCATCTATATATATATATAAGTACCTTTCCTCATCATAGCATTAAAAATTTCAAGATGTTACAAAACAAGTCATGCAAGTGTAATGTGAGCTGTAAAAAAAAAAAAAAGTTCTCAGCAGTGAAAATAAACCTGCAATCTTGTAATCAGTAGTATAATTTTCCTTAGGTAATTAAATTCCTGGAGGGTGGGGGGGATAATGAAGGTTCCAAAAATATGTAATAAAAATATTCAATTAAATCTTCCAGATTTCAGTATCTGCTGCCTTCAGATCTGGCTTGTTTCATCAAACTGCTTTCTGTAGCTTCCATTACCAAGAAAAGAGGAGTGCTGGTTCACCAGAGAATTCAGAAATGTTCCTTTGCAAAACCCCTGTTTTGATCAATATGTTGGAATTGCAGGAGCTGGGGGGTCTGGGAACCTCAACACCAGTGGGGCTGGACTGTGCTGCCAACCACAATTCCCAGATCAGGAATGCTGTACAGCTTTTCCACACCACCACCAGCTCTTGTCCTGGCCATTTGCACAGTGATTTAGGTGCCCTGTGACATTTTGGGTGCCTGTGTTTGTGTATTTTCCCTGGGTGGCAGGGAAGCCGATTGTTCCTGACATTTACACATCAAACGCTGCTTTCAACTTCTCGTGCCATAAAACATTTCACCAGAGCTCCTGTGGGTGAAACATCTTGCTGCTGTTGTAGGCTATAATCATTTTGTTGACATTAAGGGAGAGATCTGTGGGATAGCAAAACAACTTGAGTAATTGGATGGAGTGAGGTAAAACAATAATTTTGAAGGGAATTATCCATCTGATCCCTGGCACTGTTAACCCCCTACTGAAGTGTTAGCACTGCAAATGGGATTTTTTGACAACTCCTGCTGCCCCAAAGAGAGGTGGTGTTTCGGCAAGGATGTTAGTCTGTCCTATTTCTTTCTCCCTTCTATTTTAACATCATTTTTTCTCCTGCAAAAGGCATTGATGTTCCTATAGGCAGCTCAAATGCATGAGAAAAACATGTCATGCAATTCAGCAGCCAGGCAAACCAACCCTTGTTTCTAAGACTGGTTCTGACTCTTCCCAGCACAAACATTTCCACTCTTGATGTCCCAGCTGGGCATTTGGGACAGCAGGGACAAACCTGTCCTGCAAAACCCTGGAAGGGAGAGGTGCAATATGAAAAAGGTTGTGCAATATTTCCAAGCATCAGAAACCTATGACAAGCACCCTTGCGTGATTTAAAATGATTTAAAGCATTCATAAGTATTTCAGATACAAAATTCCCATGGCCTTTTAGTAGTTGTCATTTTCTTAATTAGATTGTATATGTCAAGCCTCATTCCTATTCTGGAAGATCTAAATCTGAAGCTGAAGTGTGAACATCCTTGCTGTAATACTTTGAAATCTGGCACCTTGCAGCAGATTTATAAATGTCACCAGCTAGGACAACAGAGAGTTTATTTTGATTTAGTTTTCTTCATTGAGGAGATGTCAATTTATCTCACAGGATGCACCCAGTGGAAGGATACCTGTCTCCAGGGTGAGCCTGGGTGAGTGCAGCAAGGAGAGAGGGTTGAGGAGACACGAGAAGAGGAGACACAAAGGCAGTGGTTTCCCACCTGAAGGACAAGTAGGGAATAAAGTCCCACCTTGTGACTTTCTTTTTTTTTTTTTATTTTTGTACAGAGGATAGGAGTGAACTTGGGTAATTAAGTTTTTGATTCTTTTTTGGGGTGAGGGTTAGGGTTTGAGTTAGGGTTTGGGCTTGGGTTAGGTTTGGGTGAGGGTTAATGTCAGTTCAATGGAAGAAGTTGCTCAGAAAGAACTGGCTGGTGTTAATCTATTCCAAGAGGATTCCTGCTCTCATTTGACTGTCAAACCTTTGACCTTACAGCAGTACAAACTCTGACATGAGTGGTCTTGTCCATTTAATACCACTTTTATAATTTTTCAGCTAATTTCCCTTCTCATACACTCATGCTGGTACTAAGTTAGCTCCAGGCTTTCAGGGGTGTTATCCAATATCTCTGCAGCAGCACAATTCTTCCATAGGCTCTGAGCATCTTCTCTCCATCAGCCACTGTACTGCTCATCATCCATCAAAGATTTGGGAAAATCCCTCACTTTTCTGCTCCACTGAGCACTTGTCACTTCCCAGCACTCACAGGAAAACCACACACAGTTTTTGGAGTTCCCCAACATCTCACAACTGAATACAAACTTTGCCAAATTGTTTTTGTTGTGCAAGGTAGAGTGAAAAGCAGGAGTAAACTTCAATTATTTTGTTTCAGTGTTTTGAAAACAAAATGTTTCCATTTTTCAGTTCGAACTGAAGAAGCATTTTAAAATCTAGGGATGAGGGAAACTTTCTATGTAGGAAATCTTGAAAAATTATAGTTAGAAACATAAAAGCTCCTCTGATGTGAAAGAGGAAAAAAAAAAAAGATCAGAAATCGATCTGTTCACTGAATATTTTAAGGTTGGGGTTTTTTTGTGAGGTTGACCAGCAAGGTTCTTTCATTTTTATCTCCCACCAGTGAAGTGCAGGATCCAGCACAAGGATTGAGCAGCAGCCCCAGCCAGGGCCCAGCCAGGCTCATCTCAGGGATCACCAGGATGGTAAAGCAAAGCACAGCTCCCACCTCAAAGAGTGTAACAGCTGCTGAATGGAGATGTTTGTGTGGATGCACTCTGTGTTTAAAGTTAAATCCCAGTGAAGCAGGAGGGGTTGGTGCGGCCTGTGGCCATCTGCTGGGCCCCCAACAAGCCACTGTTTGTCCCTGACCTGCAGCTGCTAAATGTAAAACAAACTTCATTTGACACAAAGGGCTTCTTCATCATTCAGATATAATCTGAAAAAAAATAAAAAATCTGCAATATTGCCTGGTGAATTCACACCAAAATTTTTTAAATAAATCAAATTTCTGCAAGCACTGAAATAAAAGTGTTAATTTTAGCAGAGCTCTCCTTACAGCCTGTCTACTTTTTCTAGATCTCCATTTTCGTAGAAGGAGCTGGTAGGGGAGTATTTATTTTTAACAGAATTACATTTATTTAGGTAAGAATTTAGTGTATTTCATTGCTTAGTGATTTTCTTGTAATAGAGATGCTCATTCTAAAATGCTTTTCAAGCTCTATTGAAACATGGCTATTTCCAGGCAAAAGCTCAGCAAATGACTCATAAAACATGGGCAGAGATGGAAGACCAGCTCACTGAACACATAGAAAAGGTTTGTTTAATTTGGGAGTTCAAGAAAATCAGGTGAGAGTTAGGAGCATCTCCAGAGGTCAGACAGGTCAGATTTAGGGAACCATATGAATTTGTGTTCATACCCTTCAGTATAGCACAGAAGGATCAGACACTGTCATAGGTTGCAAAAAAAAAAAAACCAAAACAAAACAAACAAAAAAAAAAAACCAACAGGAGTTGGTTTTTTGTCCAGGAGTGTGCTCAATTTTCAATATGTTTCAGGAAAAAATTGCTGAAACACTGTGACATTCAGTGCACACAAAAACTAGCTTCCTTTGTAACAATACAGTTTCTACTATGTCTTTTTTTCTTTTTTTTTTTTGAAACTCGGAAAAATTGCAAAAGCAACATCTGAATGTAGAGTGATCTCACTTAAGTCTTTTTATTGACCCAACTTGACTTCTTTTTCAGGTTTTTCAGTGTGCAGAATATTTTGAAGATTTTCTTCCCATTCACAGCTCAAAAAAATATTGTGGAATTGAAGAGGCACTTCCCACTCAGCGTGAGGTAAAATCTTTACCCTTCCTGGGATAGGTATTCTAATATATCACATGGAAGGTGTCCTTTCCTGTGACAGGGGGTGGAATGAGATGATGTGTAAGGTCCCTTAGCTAAACTATTCTGTGATTCCCCATGTGAAAATGTGTATGAGGAGGGTGGGAGGTTTCATCTGCTCCTCCTCAAGTCCCCACCTTGGCATAACTGCAGGTGCTGTTGTGTATTCAGTTTCCAAGCCCTTTCTAACACCCAGCCACCTGCACAGGATGCTCCTGATCACAAGCAAAGGCTCTGCTGTGCTGGGCAGCTCAATTCCTAAAATCCAGGGGGCAGGAAGGAAGAGCACCTTGAAACCCCTCCAGAGGGAGGGCACTTGTGATTTCAGTCATGGTGCACTTGAGCTCTCCGCTATATTCATCAGAAATTAAAGAGGAAGCACAGTCTGATGAGTAAGCAGCAACACCTGAATCACTCCCTTTAGAAGCAGGAAAAAGCCATTAATACAGCAAGAGAGCTGAACAATGCAGCCAGAGGCTGCAAAACCCCACACAGAGGCAGTCTGGCTGTCATTGCTTGCCTCTTGCTCGGCACCACTTCCCCATGTGCTCAGAGACAGGGGAAGGCAGGTTTGCACCAGCAGCAGCACATTTTCCATCTCTGGCAGCTCCCCTTCCTCCCCTGCACTTGCTGGCTCCCAAACCCATGCTCCCAGGGGTTTCTGTGCCTCAGCCTCTAAGAACAAGACAAGATCTCCCTCCTGAGAGCACAACAGAGGCCAAGCAATCTGTCCCAGAGCAGGTTTTTCCACAGCATGTGAAGTGCCACTAATCCAAGGTTTCTATTAAACAGCCACCAGGAAAGAGAGGGAAAGACAAAGAGCAAACATGAGGAAATGAGATGTTCTGCTTTGCTCAGGAGAAATGAGGATTATCTGCTCACACACAGAGGTTTCCCAGGGCAGGGGATGTTCAGGGGCCTCATTCTCTGTTGGCAGACAAATCATGTTTGGATATAACATCCAGGTTTTCATTTCATGGGCACAACACATGGCCCTTCCCAAGGAGTAGCTGCTTACTAGGCCCACTGAAGCAGATGCTAAAAGTTTTGAGTATTCAGTATCAAAACAGAATAATTCAAACACCATCTGGACACAAGCCTGAGTGCTGCAGCAGGGGTTGGACATCCCAGCACCTGAGTACAGGTCTTGTCCCAGGAACAGGAGGCGAGTCAGAAGCTGTGATGGGCTTGGCTGTGAGTGGAGAAATTGGTTAACCTCATTTAAAAACCTGATTTTCTGCTAATACTCCACCACACTCCATTTTTCACTCTTTTAACTCGAAGCAGCCAGTGAAAGACATGGAAGCAGAGCTGGCAGAGCCACCCAGGAGGCTTTCCCCTGTTAAAGAGCACCACAATTAGAGCTGGCATTGGAGGGAACCCAGACCCTCTGCTGTCAGGAGGCTTTACCTGATAACTTCAACCAGAAAGTTAATCCTGAGACAGTATCCAGGA